AGGGAGGGAGGGGGCATCCCAGCTCTTTAAAGTTCTGTTTCCCCAGGCATCATTAATGGAAAAGGTTCTTTCTCAGCAGCCTCCCAGGGAACACTCGGGGCAGTCACCCTGCATTTTGGATGATGCCTATTGCCTGTGAATACTGGTTCGCTGCCATCCTCCCAAAGTGTGAGCTGCTGGGGCATGAGACATTTGTCCGGGTTCAGGGCACAGACAAAAGAGGAGTACAGCAAACCCAGACCTTCCTTTCTCACATCAACTGCACCTGCTCAGGACAACTTGCCCTCTAAGAAGATAAAAATCACTCCCCAATCTTGGTTTTCAAAAATCAACCAGTTGAAACAAAAGTAGTGCAAATGTAGATCTAAATCTATTATAGGTAATGAGGGCCTTCCAAAAATAGTCACTGCTGCTCATGAGATAATAGGGGTGACCAACCAGCTGCACAAGTGATAAAAGCATCAACTCATGGAGTGAGAAACTTTAGAAATCACAACAATAATAGCTACTATTAATTCAGGACTAGCTAAGTGCTAAGCACTGACTATAGCTTAGGGGTCGAGTAAGAGCCCTAGAATTAGACTGATCTGACCACGAGTCCAAACTCTTGCCTCTCACCAGTTACATGACCTGGGGAAGTTATTAAAGCCCCTAACAGCTTCTTTACCTACAAAACAGAACTAATGAAAACAGAGCCTATCTCATAGGATTTTTTTAAATAATCAAGTAAGAAATACACCCAAAGGATTACACAATAGGGCCTGAGACAAGTGCTATACACATCATTTCTTACCATCACCTACTCTGTGAATACCATTGTTACCTCCATTTTATGAATGGGAAGACTGAGACAGGGAAAATGAGTAATTCGCCCAGAGTAACTCAGTTGTAGCACTCCACATCTCCCATGCTCTTTCATGCCTTTGTAGCCCTGAACATAAAGATCCTTCTGAATAAAATGTCCTTTCCTACCCTGTTCACATGGGAGCACACCCACTCAGCCTCCAAAACCAGCTCAAGTGTCACCTGGGCTCCACAGAGATTGATACAACTCCACTGTTGTGTCTGGCTCTCATCAGACTACATGACATGTGTCTGTCTGCAGGTTTACCTCAACGAGACTGAGAGCTCCTTTAAAATTTATCTCTGCTCTCTTGGGTCTAGCCAAGCTCTTCTCCAGCCAGGACCTTGAATATCTTAGCTCCTGGATCACTATCATTCTCTCCAACACTATTTCTGTCATAACCCATGGTGATATTAACATCCACCTACAGAATCATTCTAGTCCCGGGTCCCTCAGTCTACTCCGATGATTGTGACCTCAGCCACTTACTCCCAAGGCCCTATCTCTGATCTTGTCATTTACAAAAAATATACCCCCTCCATAGTCTTGACTTCAGGCATACCCTCTGTAATCACCACTCCTGTCTTTGCAACTGAGTCCAACTCATACC